CAAGAGCGGATGGTCATGAAAGGGCAGACCCCGTATCATCTCCACCAGACGGCACGCAAGCTTTGACCAGTCCAGGATTTAATGCGCCTGCAAGGAAAAGCAAGCGTAAAAAGAAGACCCCAAAGAAATTGAAGGACTTCGTTAGGAAGTAGACAAAAACAGTTTTGTGTGTTTCTACCATTTATTTTTATTTTATTTTATTTTTTTTTTTTTTTTGCAAGAGGGGATATGTGGTATAAGGCGTCGCTACCGACTACAGCGCTGTGCGGTGGCACGCGCTCGGTGGCCGCCACGGGGGAGAAGGAAGAAGATGAAATAAACAAGATGTCTCCGTTTATGCTGTGCTATTCATTATGCACGATGTAACAGTTAGCAAAGCGCTGCAATTGTGCCCAAGAATGGAAGTGGTTGAATCATAAAAGCCGCACTTTTGGGACTACCGTGCCTACATGTACAAGTGTTTGGTGCCACTTAGCAGGAAACAGAAGCATGGAGGAGCGTAACTACGGAAGCCATAGCAAGAATGTTGTCGCTTTTCAAGCTCATAGCAGAACAAGCTCGAATCGGAGTTGTTCAAACAGATCACTTCAACAACCGATAAAGATTACTGATTTTTATCGCATACGGTTATGTGATTTGGCGAATTTAACCTCTGCCTACAGCGCTCCTCGAAGCTTGTCGCTTCCAGCGTCTAGAAGAAGATTTTCAGCGGAAGATAAATAATGGAACTCACCCTACAAACTCTTCGTCTTCTTCATCACCATAAATACCCACATCCCTGACTCGTTCACCAATGAGTGGCTTTCTATAATATTTATTTTTCTAAGTCTATTTATTTTCTAACCTTTTATACTTTCTACAACGATGTTCCGCGTAATTCACGGTTGATTCCTCGATTGATTTATTGATATGTGGCGTTTAACGTCCTAAAACCACCATATGGGCTGCTGTTCAAATCTCGGCTGCGGCGGCTGCATTTCCGATGGAGGCGGAAATGTCGTAGGCCCGTGTGCTCAGATTTGGGTGCACGTTAAAGAACTGCAGGTGGTCAAAATTTCCGGAGTCCTCCACTACGGCGTCTCTCATAATTATATGGTGGTTTTGGGACGTTAAACCCATGAATCAATCAATCGAAACCACCATATGATTACGAGAGACGCCGTAGTGGAGGCTTCCGGAAAGATAGATAGATAGATAGATAAATAGATAGATAGATAGATAGATAGATAGATAGATAGATAGATAGATAGATAGATAGATAGATAGATAGATAGATAGATAGATAGATAGATAGATAGATAGATAGATAGATAGATAGATAGATAGATAGATAGATAGATAGATAGATAGATAGATAGATAGATAGATAGATAGATAGATAGATAGATAGATAGATAGATAGATAGATAGATAGATAGATAGATAGATAGATAGATAGATAGATAGATAGATAGATAGATAGATAGATAGATAGATAGATAGATAGATAGATACGGCGTTCAGGCTAGTTCAAACTATCGCCACCTGGGAGGTAGTGGCAAGTTGTCAGAATCCTTAAAGCTCTTCGTACCATACCGTATACCAATGGTTCGAAATCCTTCATTATCCCTGCCAGAAAGCTCAGATGTCAGTCTCACCGCTTGCTCGTTAAGCATTTTCATTTATTCGATGTTTTGTTCTTAATCTGAATTTGCGGGGTTTTTTAGCTCCAGAAGTTTTTACCTCAAACATCCTGCCATACGGTTCTTGACTCGTCCCCCTTTGGTGGTGAGCACCATCAGAAAGAGGTTATCATCATCATCATCATCACAATCTGCATATAAAGTGTCTCGCGACGTGAGGCTCGAGAAGGAGAAGAAGCTTACGTTCCAAGCAGCCGTGTTCGTCCTCTGCTTGGCTCCAAGGCAGACATAACTACGACGTCGAAAAAACTCGCTTGGCCGCTTACACGTCCGTCCAACGTTCTCGTCACGGCGGGAAAAACGAGAGTCGCAGGAAGCTTGCGCGGGCCAAGTTGCCCGTCCCTGCGTTGGGCCTCTGGTAAGGTTCACCCTCTACCCATGTGCTAACTCTTGTTGTCTCTTGTTATAGATACGGTGAGCACAGGGCATGGCGCTTGAGCGCCGGCCAACAAGAAGTACGCAGCAGCCGGTAGCCAAGCAGGAACTCCGTTTATATGACACAAGCATGCCATTGAATGGATGATGGATGGATGAGGCTGTACCCTTTAGATCGAGCGGCGGCTAACGCCACCTAGCCGTAATACTCAGCAAACTAACCATTAGATTTATCTTTTTCTTCCTTTAAATAGTGAGGATGAGGATTCGTGCTTTGCAGTGAAGGGTTTAATTTTCACTCGTGCCTTGACTTAAGCCACCAATCAGATAACCCCCTTCTAGTTAAGTCTACCCGCTTGAAGTCTTTTGCCGACCCTGTCCCTAAACCCTAGTGCTTTGAAAAACTCTGCGCCATCATCCTGAACTATAGGGTGAAGCTATTATGCACATATGTACAACGCCCTCTAGGGGCCAGCCAACCGGTTCCTAAACCGGAACCACAACACCACAGTGAGGAAGGCGAAAAGATCACGCGTCGTTGCGTACACATCGCCTGGACTTTCACGTCATGTCAGGAGAAGTTATACACTTCGTCTACACGTCGTCACATAGGAGCGAATGTGTTGCCATGGTAACACAGGGGTTGCACCCTGGCAGGCTTGCCGAGAGAAGTGCTGGTGTGCAATATCTCAGGCCATGGCCTTGCACTAAAATAAAAAAAAAATCGCAGCTGTTGCTCTGAGTGCTTAGCGCCTACGAGCGCTAAACTTGAATGCAGCTAGCGCCTGTGGCGGCGACCGTACAACTTGCCTTTTAGCGTGGCCTCCGAAATTGGCATCGGCAACGCCCCGCGGTCGCCATATACTTAAAGCTGTTGTTAGTTTTTGACAACGAGTCACAATATATGTTTATTTCATATTTGTGTTGCATGATTGTCTGCCATTCCTGCTGTTTTGTCAACTTGTGAACAGGGTCAGGACCTCGTCAAGCTCTTCAGCTTTTAGTCCTGTACTCCACCTAATCAAAAGAAAATGAATTGATTCATTGATTGACTGACTGATTGATTGATTGATTGATTGATTGATTGATTGATTATTGTTTCGCTGCAGTCTTTTGGCAGCGTTGACCTTGGCTGCCTGCTTGAAGGTCATATTCACCCACGCAGACGTTTTCTGGGTTTGCACCGAAAGTAGTAGAGCCACCACTCTAAATATCTGCCGACCTCTAGTGAAGGCTCCTATATTATTGCACTGCAGGCTGAGGTCGGTGCGCCCATCACGGGAGTAGCCTGGAAGGAGGTTCAACCCCCCCCCCCCTCCTCAAAATTTCAATTTTGCTTGCCTATATATACACGCACACATAAAAACGCACACACGAACATGCATAAAAATAGTCGACCCGCCCCCTTTGAAAAAGAACTGGCTACGCCCCTGGCGTCCAGTTCTTTAGTAAAACAATAACGTCGTAAAACAATAAAAATAAAAATTTCCAAGGCCATGACGCACAGTGATGTAACTTCTGAATGGCGCATCACTGCCTGCTCATCATGCCACGTACAATACGTTATTTTTGTTTTGGAACAAAATGTACCTCAAAAAGCGCAACTGCTTTAGATATTGTACTAACTGTTTTTTGTAAAATAAAGGGGGTGCGAGCGGGGGGGGGGGGCGTATTTCTGTTCGACAATGAAAATGATTCTTTGTGTCCTTTTTCCGTGTGTGTTTGCTATCGTTTTGTGCTTCCAACTCACGTGTGACATGCACGCTATCAACGTGAATAAGCTTACCTTTTACGGGTGTAACCAGTTAGCTTTTCTCTGCGGAAAAAAACTCAAGCAAGTGATACATATGACGGTTATTGTTGCCAGAGCAAAACACTCAAACTTTGGATATATTGATTATTTTATTCACATTAGACGTGTCCCGGGTCACTACACGAAATGCCAGTGACGTCAGTCACGTGACTCTTGGGCGTGGCTGCGACCGTGCTGGTTGGCAGAACATGAGTCTCCCCGGTGGCCGTTCAGGCGGATCAACCAATCGCATGCGTAATATGGTTTACTGTTGCGTTGTAGGATACGTTGAAAGCGTGACAAAAGGCAGCCACATTGGTTGATTTCTTCCCTTTCCGGAAGACAGTAGTCGACGGAAAGCTTAGAGAGAGAGAGAGAAATGGAGAGGAAAGGCAGGGAGGTGCAGACAGTGCGCCCAGATAAAATGCCGGTCGTCAGACCGCAGCAGGATTTGCGGCCTATAATTCATCAGCTTCAAGTAAAAAAAAAACTGGGGAAGCTTGCTTCAAGTAAATAAAAAACTGGGGGAGCTTGCTTCAAGCCGCAGAAGGCTTTAAACAGTGAAACTGGACAATTATGAAGAATTATAATTTCTGAAGACCAAGATTCTCCGCGCATAGACCCAACCAAAGTCTCCACTGCCCATACAGTAGCCCATAGATGGCATAACTGCCTCGGTTGGAGACGATACAGTAGCCGCATTGTGTTAAACGGGGAAGCATGACTCGAGCGTGAATATGGTCTAAATAGGAGCCTGAAGCCGTGTTAGCAATGGTGGGTTTGGCGGGGCCTGCCTAACGTCCTCTCCCGCACATTTCTACTCTACGAACAGCCTAACCGCGAAACCAGCACAAGATGACAAAACATCACAAGAAATCACAAAGGAAACACAAGAGAAACACATCTACGCTGTGTCTGCATATTTCGCTAAGGGTGGAATTGGGCCGAATTTTTGGCCAAGCACAGTTCGGTGCGATATCTTTGATCATGCTTTACGTGAAGTCACACTGCCGAAAAACAGAAATGGCTCTACTACCGTTGTAGGACAAGAGCTACCCAAAAAAAAAGTGCGAACAGCTCTTACAGTGCACGAAACTGTGTACATAGTACCAAAGAAGGTTTACATTACTGGTGAACAATGCAGATGGCCGCCGGCAAGCTTTACTTCGTCTTCGTGTTCCTAATATTGGTCGGTATCATCGTCGGCATCGTGGTAGCGGTCTTAGGGTACGTCCTGCTCCAATCGTCACTCAACTGGCCGACGGAGAAGTGGGAGTACGAAAGCTTGGCCATCGTATGCGACGCCAAGGAGTGTGCCAATGTAGCCCTGTAAGTGCATGGTTCTTCGGTGCAGCGCATTTCTTTGTACAGATATCTTGCATTGCACGTCGCTTGCATATCACCTCATGCTGGCAGAGTCACCAATCTAGAAAGCCCAAACATGACGTCGGAACACGATACGATCACGCATAGATACCTTTACGTTTGAATAGTATAGCCGTTATTCACCAGATCGCAATAAGGGTGTTTCAGCGCCTTCGGCATAAGGAGTATTCACGTGACGTCAACGTGTTCCATTTTGTTCGTTTATCAGCTTCTTCTGTGCTTCTGAATATATTCAGATCGAGATCGCTTTTCAGTGTGCTGGCTTGTAAAAAAAAAATGGTGGCCGCCGTTACGTCAATGCATATTCCTCGTACCGCTATATGCGATTGCTTTTGCGTAACATTAGCCTGCCTGGTGACCTGCAGCATCATCAGAGGCACTCCCTCTGGCCGCAATGCCTTAGACATATTTTGGTGTCCTGTGAATTCACATTTTTTTATGTTTGGTTTTTACGTGCCAAAACCACGATGCGATTACGAGGCACGCCGTAGTGGAGGGCTCTAGAATTTTTGACGCTCTTGCGTTCTCTATAGCGTCCACTGACATGACCCAATACACAAGCCTCCCTCATTTCGCCTCCATCGTAGTGCGGCCCGTCGTGGTCGGTATCGGACACGCGGCTTTAGGCTCAGCAGCCAAACCCTTCTTCTTGTTGGAGTTTGATTATGATTATGAGAGACGCCGTAGGGAAAGGCTCCGGAAATTGCGAACACCTGGAGTTGCCCCGCCGCGGTGGTCTAGTGGCTAAGGTTCGGCTGCTGACCCGCAGGAGCGGGATCAAGTCCTGGCTGCGGCGGCTGCATTTCCGATGGAGGCGGAAATGTTGTAGGCCCGTGTGCTCAAATTTGGGAGCAGGTTAAATAACCCCCGGTGGTCGAAATTTCCGGAGCCCTCCACTACGGCGTCTCTCATAATCATATGGTGGTTTTGGGACGCTAAACACCATAAATCAATCACCTGGAGTTCTTTGATGTGCACCTGTACCTAAACACACGGACTTTTCGCCTCCATCGTATCTTCGACTCTATCGAAAATGCGGCAGCCGCGGCCGGGATTCGATGCCAAGACCTGCAGGTAAATAGCCGAGTTCCTCAGCCACTAGACCATCGTGGCGGGGTTACAGCCAAGCTGCATGATCACCATATTTCATGAGTACTCTTGTTGAAAAGTGATTAGAAAGGCGGGACATTCGCAAACATTGTGGCGCTGAAAACTTGCACCGGCACTGAAGCATCAGCGCTGCGATATTGACAAACCTGCAACAATATCTTCGCGTGCCGCGTCTGTGCCATTGAGTGCATGGCGCCTTCATGGGCACCACTGATGCGGCGGCTCTGTCAATAAGCGTCAAAGTGCAATTAGACTAGACCACGGTGTTAGAAACCTATTCTAACACCGTGGACTAGACATTACAGTGCAATCGCCAAGAGGCTTGCGGCTTAACCGAAACTTTTTTTTTCTTTTTACACTTTATCGCTTCGTACTGAACGCACCACCGCTACGACTATCGAAGTATGGCCTTTTCGTAATTCAAACCTCCTCTGATGGCACGGATATTTTGTGCCTCGCATGATCAGATTGCTAGTGAAGTGATGTACAGTCATGCTCAATATGACCTGCAACACGGGAGCGTGGGGCCTTACGTGCTCAAAAATTACACATGATTTCAGTTCACGTCCACTGTTACAAGCACGTGAATATTGCCACCTGCTTCTAGTAGTGGGTCGTATGCCAAGGTGAAGGCACACACCACGAAGAAGAAAGAAGTGCGCGTGAACCCCCGCTCTAGAAGACAAGCCCAACCGACGCGCTTGGTTAGAGCCCTGTTGCTCGGACATCAATAGACCTTGTCGACATCCCCTGGAGCGACGTGACAATTGGTGGAGGTGCTGGGTAGCCCCTCACGGATGTTTCAGACCCCTCCTGGAAGCAGCACCACAAGCCCAGTGCGAGTCCACACTCCCGTTCATCGGACAAGCCGCAGGATCAGGGGATTGCCACCCGAAGCTGACCCCACAGTTCACACCAGTATGATGAGCACGTCCGTTCAAACCACTTTAACAGGAACGGGAAACCCCCCGGTGACTCGGTACACCCTCGAAAGTCCACAGGTTCCGACACCGTTTCATGGCACCGAGCTCGAAGACGTCGAGGACTGGTTGGTCGACTTCGAACGCGTGGCTGCTTTGAACAACTGGAACGACGCGGCGAAACTACGGCGTGTGTACTTCTATTTGGAGGATGGAGCACGTACCTGGTACATGAACCACGAGGAACAGATGACATCGTGGCCCGAATTCCGCCGCCGGCTGTTGGACACTTACAGAAGTGCTGATCGCCACGAACGAGCGGAGCGAGCGATCCAGGCCCGCATCCAGATGCCCAACGAAACTGTCATGACATATGTGGAAGATATGACGCGCCTGTTCCGACGGGCTGATCCAGGTATGACAGAGGAAAAGAAGTTGCGTCACCTGATGCGGGGAGTTAAGGAGCAGCTTTTCGCTGGCCTTGTACGGAGCCCTCCGAGCACGGTCGCCGAGTTTTTGTCTGAAGCCGTCACGATGGAAAAGATGCTTCAGCATCGATCCACCCTGTATGACCGGCAAGTGAGCACGTCCACTGCTCAAGTTCCCACGACTTTTGGGAACAACACCGAGTGTCTGCGCGACCTCATCCGCTCTATAGTACGCGAGGAGCTGCAAAAGGCTGCCACACCACCACTACCTACGGTGAGTTCTATTGCAAGTATCGTCAAGGACGAGCTGCATCATGCCCTGCGTGACCCTGTGAGTCTGGATAACGCCGCACCGGCCCCGGCTGACTACCACCGTGCGACTTATGCGGAAGCCTTGAAGCGCCCAGCTTCCTCTTCCCCGCTGTTTGTTCAGGCACCTCCTACAGTTTCACTCAGTCGGCGCAGCCTCTACGGTACTACGAGAACACACGCGCGCCCCCACCCCTCGTTTACGCCAACCCTGTGCATCTTGCGGAACAACCAGCGCACTACCTTGACGACAGACGTGCTTCGCCTCGGAAATCTGATGTTTGGCGCACTCCTGATCGCCGGCCTTTGTGCTTCCACTGCGGTGAAGCGGACCATTTGTACCGCCAGTGTCCATAGCGGCGCCTCGGGCTGCGCGGCTTTTCAGTATATTCAGCGCCTCCTCGGTATGGCCAGCGACCCCGGGACATTGAGGACTACCTGGCTCAACAGCGCATGCCACCGCCTTCTGGACGGCAGCCGCGCTCACCGTCGCCGAGGCGCTTTTCATCTTCGCCACAGCGCCATGCTGGCGCACGGTCCCCCAGTCCCCGCCGGGAAAACTAACGCAAGCGACCCTTGGAGGCGAGGTCGCTGGCAGTCGACGTGCTGAAGACCTCCGATCGACGCTAACAGTAAAGGGTGTGGATTCGACTGAGCGATATGTGCGGCTTTCTCTGGATATACCGGTGCTGATAGACGGCTATTCAGTAGGTGCTTTAGTTGATACCGGGGCTGACTATTCTATACTAAGCGGGAAAATGACCAGACTACTAAAGAAGGTAATCACGCCCTGGCATGGCTCTGTGATTCGAACGGCTGGTGGCCACACCGTCTCTCCGCTTGGAACCTGCACGAGCAGAGTTCGGGTCTGCGGTTATACTTTTGTAGCAAGTTTCCTTGTGCTCCGTGAATGTTCACGCGACGTTATTCTTGGTGTTGACTTCCTGCAGGAGTATGGAGCTGTCATTGACCTTCAAGAGAATCGCATCACCTTCTCAGCCGACCGAGCAATCGACAAGCAGGACGACCAACAACGTGCCGACATTCTTCGTGTTTCTGCTGAAAGTATAACGCTTCCTCCAAGAGCCAGTGTTATTGTCGACGTCACATGCTGTGGATTGCGAAATGGTGAAGCGATTGCAGAAAGTAATTTTGAACACTTGCTGTCTCAAGGTGTTTGTGTGGCTAGGAGTATCATACAGCTACGTGATGGCCGATCTCAACTGCTCGTTACAAATTTCAGCAACGAACACCGACACCTTTTTCGTGGCACTTCGTTAGCGTTTGCAGATGAATTAAGTACCGTTCCCATCTGCTTCTCGTCGGACGCAGTGGAGGCCGCCGATACGTCTCTAAACAATATCGACATTAATTCTAACCTCACACCAGAGAACCAGACAGCACTGCGAAAACTCTTGCTTGAATTCAAGTCATGCTTCGCTGCTTCCTCTAAGGTGCGCCAGACTTCGATCACTAGGCACAGAATCATCACTTACGACGACGCCCGCCCAGTACACCAACAGCCTTACCGTGTTTCAGCGAAGGAACGAGAAGCCATTCGTACGCAAGTTCGAGAAATGATTGACGACGGCATCATCGAGCCTTCCAACAGTGCGTGGTCCTCTCCGGTCGTCCTAGTCAAGAAGAAAGACGGAACGCTACGTTTTTGCGTCGATTACCGGAAGCTGAACAGCGTGACTAAAAAGGACGTGTACCCGCTGCCACGCATCGACGACTCGTTAGACAGATTACGCCGCGCCCACTATTTTTCCTCTTTGGATTTAAAAAGCGGGTACTGGCAGATCGAGGTTGATGAGAGAGATCGCGAGAAAACGGCCTTTGTTACCCCTGATGGCCTGTATGAATTTCGAGTCCTTCCTTTTGGTTTGTGCTCAGCGCCCGCAACCTTCCAGCGAATGATGGATACTGTGCTTACTGGTCTGAAGTGGCAAACTTGTCTCGTATACCTTGATGATGTTGTCGTTTTTTCTGAAACCTTCCAGCAACATCTTCATCGCCTCAGGAGTGTGCTACAGGCTATTCAATCAGCAGATCTTACACTCAAACCGCAGAAGTGTCACTTTGGTTATGAAGAGCTCAAATTCCTTGGCCATGTAGTCAACGCGAGAGGAGTTCGACCCGACCCCGACAAACTTGCCGCTGTAGCCGCGTTTCCGCATCCTACAGACAAAAAGGCTGTTCGACGCTTTCTGGGCTTGTGCGCCTACTATCGACGATTTATTAGAGGGTTTTCGAAGATAGCGGAACCCTTGACTCGCCTTACACGCGACGACACACCGTTTGTATGGGCTACCGAACAACAGGCTGCTTTTGCCGAGCTACGACAGCGGATGCAGTCAGCCCCTGTTCTTGCGCATTTTGACGATGATGCTGACACAGAGGTGCACACTGACGCCAGTAACATCGGCCTCGGCGCAGTGCTCGTCCAGCATCAACACGGCAAAGAACGAGTCATTGCCTATGCCAGCCGCTCACTGTCCCGTACCGAGGTGAATTACACGACCACAGAAAAAGAGTGTCTCGCAGTAGTGTGGGCGATCACCAAGTTTCGCCCGTACCTCTATGGTCGTCCATTTAAAGTGGTGACGGACCACCATGCCCTCTGCTGGTTGGTAAACATTCGTGATCCCTCTGGACGACTGGCCCGATGGAGCTTGCGTCTACAGGAATTTGATGTTACCATCGTATATAAGTCTGGACGGAAGCATGAAGACGCTGATACGCTGTCGCGTGCACCCATACCTTTAGTCAATCAAGAAGAAGACGACGATGACGGTTTCCTGGGCGCCCTTAGCTCATGTGACTTGAGCAGACGCCAGCGAGAGGATGAAGAGATTCGACCGCTCATCGACTATCTGGAGGGTCATAGCGCCGTTATACCTCGCCATCTATTTCGTGTCATGACGTCTTTCTGCCTCCGAGGTAATGTCCTGTATTAAAAAAACGCCCGTTCTACAAGCCGCGCTTACCTCCTCGTCGTTCCGAAGGACATGCGGGACGAAGTCCTCTCCGCGTGCCATGATGAACCCACATCTGGTCATCTAGGTTACTCGCGAACGCTCGCCAGAGTAAGTGAGGCGTACTACTGGCCCGGACTTTCAGCAAGCGTGAAGCAGTACGTTAAAAGCTGTCGTGAATGCCAGCGTCGAAAGTCGCCACCAAGCAAGCCGGCTGGATTACTTCAGCCAATTGATCCACCCCACAAGCCATTTGACCAAGTCGGCATGGTACATTCTCAGCCCATTTCCTTTATCGTCCGACGGCAACAAATGGGTCATTGTTGCAACTGACTATTTGACCCGCTATGCTGAGACACAGGCGATACCACGAGCCACGGCTTCTGAGGTAGCACAGTTCTTGATGTGCCACATTGTTCTGCGCCACGGTGCTCCATCTACAGTGATAACCGACAGAGGAATAGCGTTCACTGCACAACTTATTGATGAAGTTTTTCGGCTAAGTAACACTAGGCATCGAATGACGACTGCTTACCATCCGCAGAGCAACGGCTTAACCGAGCGACTAAATAAGACAGTCACAAACATGATCTCCATGTACATCGACGTCCAACACAAAACATGGGATCGCATTTTGCCTTATGTGACGTTCGCTTATAACACCGCCGTTCAAGAAACAACCCGATTTACACCGTTTCGCCTTCTCTACGGCCGCGAAGTTCAGACGATGCTGGATGCGATGCTTCCTTATGAAGTCGCTGATCGATTAACAACTGACGCAGAAGAATTTGCAGAGCGTGCCGAGGAAACTCGCCAGCTTGCCCGGCTACACATTGGTCAGCAGCAACAGGTCGATGCACGACGTTACAATAAGCGTCACAATGACGTATCTTACAGTCCGGGAGACCAAGTTTGGGTTTGGACCCCTGTTCGACGCCGTGGCCTCTCCGAAAAGTTGCTCAGCAGATACTTCGGTCCGTATAAAGTAATACGCCGCGTGAGCGACGTAAACTACGAAGTGGTTCCGGACGCTACGTCATCACGATGGGCACAACGAAAACAACCGACCTCTGACATAGTTCACGTGGTGCGCATGAAGCCCTATTTTGCGCGTTCCTAAAAGACCACTTTTCCTGTGTTTTTTTTATTTGTGCTCCGACAATTGCCTCATCATTGGTGAACTTATCGCGTCTAACATTTGATTATTGGTGCCCTTTTTCATTGTTTAACCTACTTTGTTTTGGTTTTTTTTTTCAATAACTTTACAGCATCGGGACGATGCTCTTTCTTTTTTTTTGTTGAGGAGGAATATTGCCACCTGCTTCTAGTAGTGGGTCGTATGCCAAGGTGAAGGCACACACCACGAAGAAGAAAGAAGTGCGCGTGAACCCCCGCTCTAGAAGACAAGCCCAACCGACGCGCTTGGTTAGAGCCCTGTTGCTCGGACATCAATAGACCTTGTCGACATCCCCTGGAGCGACGTGACAATATGTTGCCACTTGCCCTCATAAATGTGGCGAGCGCGAGCCATGGCTGTCTGCTAGAAGGGAAGGTAATGTTCTGGCGAAGTGCTCGCTTGCGAGTTCTTCTTGTTTTAGACAGCCATCTTGCCAGTTTTTTGTGCATCTCTCGCCCGGCTAGGTTCTGAGTCGAAAGATCTTTTGTAGCACGTGACAGTATTTTTATTAGGCATCGTCCCCCAGTAAGAAGGGAGTGTTGTGGTAGCCATGGGTGGTTTCTGAGCTCATGGGGCCACGTGCTTCAATACTGTGAGTCATACGAAGCATGGATGCTCATTGTAGTGGAAGACACGGGTGTAAATAAAAAAAGAGGGAGAGGTGGAGAAACGGAGAGCTGTTAGTGCAGAGTTCACTCTGAGCACTTCACGCAGTATAGAAAAAAAAAACGATGCGTGAGCTTGCGTCTCGTATCAAAGAAAGGCGTGACTGTAAGCCAGATGTCACTTGTTTTGTTTTCCGCCAAACATGTTTTTTTTTAATTGCTCATTTATTGGACTTCGTTATCTCTGACAAGCGCCCCCTATAGCCTGCCGAAAATGACATGTGCGTATGTGCATTGAGACTAGTATGTCATCTGTTTCTCGTTGGCTTTTCATTAGTGCCTGTGTCGCATGTATATCCGAGTCTAGTGCATTCGGTTCTTTACGGTACACTATGGCGATACAAAAACGCAATCAATACATCAATAAGTCGCGCTTAATTAATGGAAAGACGGCGGAAATAGGAGTTATGTGAGAATAATGAGAGCCTGGCCACTCCGTGTGTGAATGTGTGGTGTACGATGGCTTTCTTAGATGAAGTAGTATCGGGAATCATCCTTGCAGCCGAACATTCGGTAAAGGGGGCACAATGATCGACGCCGCTGTGGCTGCGCTGCTGTGCATGGGCGTCACCGCCCCGCATCTGTCCGGCATCGGCGGTGGATTCCTCGCCATCGTTTACAACCGGTGAGTGGGCCTACAATGGCATTGCAATCATTATTGTGTTCAGCCTTTGCTAATTTTGCCGTGCACCCATCTGTGGAACGCGCGTTAATCAGCGTACTGCCTGGACGATATTGTATTAACAGGATAGCGTTAAAAAGCTCGTAAACGCACAAAATCAAGCAAGATCAGTTTATGGGTGCGCGATAGTCATGCAAGACAAAGATAAACGAGTGGTCGCCTGTGTGGCGAAGCAGCGGCGGAGACAACTTACAATTGATATTTCGCGCATATGGACCAATCGAGAGTATGTGCCGTAATGACGTCTCGCGAATCGCCGTCCTACGTCACGAAGTGCACCAGAAAACCGAGGAACGCCGGGAGAGTATAACACACCCGTTTTTTTTTTTTTGTATTAGCAGAGGCTTGTGAGGGGTCCTTTAGTCAGCAGTAATAACAAAATATGAAGCAGTCTAAGTAAGCGTAATGACCACACGACATGTTGCTTTGCTACTAGCTCCGAAATAGCTCCGAGATAGCACCCCTGCAGTGGCCGTGACAGTGAAATCACTGCTGTCATGATAAGGCTGTAATCATTTAGTGGGCGAAGCGGCACGTGCTACACGCGTGCAGTTTCGCTCAACGGGCTCGTCCACTTTGGTGTCGTTTTCACCAAGATTTTGATGTTGCCGCTCGCCTGATGGTGCACGAAGTCTGACGAGAAAAAAAAAAAAGAGCACAAGGCGCTAACACTACGGTTCTCTTACGGGCACTAACAATTTACCGTTAGCGGGAACGAAAATGCCTCAAGCGAAGCACCGAAGTACGGTGCAACGGCATGCCGCCTGCTATGGCGTCATCTGCTCCCGGATCCTGCCAAACCCGCTGTCGTGGCCGCTTTGGCGCGGGAAGCAGCACACGACTGGTGCGGCTCCCCTTGACATACGCACGGGGCCTATCGACCAGAAGCTTATACATAGAGCAACGGCTGCTGCAGGAGATGTGTCTTCCTTCCAGAACTAGCGGACTCGTGTTTGGCGTGGACGCCCTTGGTAACTCGCCTGCCGCGACCAAGCCGGATGATTTTAAAAACTGGACACTCACAAAAATAGGTAAGGACCACTTTCAGCGTCAGTCCCTAAAGAGACCGTAAACGCGTTTTTCGTTTTGTCTTGTCTGATAACTGGCATGTATATGCCGCCACGCAGGTACATGCCTTTCTTCTTTATAGCACCCATGTATTCGTGGAAGCATACTCTGTTAAGGGCTATTGGTGAGGGGGGAGGAGAGAAGTCTGACGTTTATATAGGGAAAACCAGTGGCTATGAATGATCTATGATGCTCAGTGCACCACGAAACCAAATTGCCACAAGTGTTGCAGTATAATCTAGCGGAGGCCCAGTGTGGATCATTCTGGCGTGTTATGAATGCAATCTCGGGCAATACCCGCAATTACCACACCATAAAAACGAATTTACCCAGAACAGTGCTACTTTTCTTGGTGCTAGTAACCGAAGTTGTGGTTTACCGCTGTGTAGCTGCAAGTTTATTCACGGTAGTAGAACATTTCTCTGGAGACAGAAAAGGTTGGTTACCACTGAAAGTAATAAGGGGAAAAATATAAATTCACTGTCCTATGCCTTTAAGAGTATCGGGCGGTGACATACCTGAACGGTTTGGCCAACATTGTCGGAACTTGACGTTGCAAGCGCAGTTAATTCCGCGTGGGACTCCACTGACTTTTTTATCTCTCGAACTTCGCCCTCACGAGTGGCTTCCCGGCAACTGAATTGAAGCTGCCGTGAAATTATCTTTTCAGGCAGATTGCGCTTGACAATATGCGTACATTCATACAGGTGCGAAATCATTGAGCACACATATGGAGGTTTTTTTTTTTTAATCGAACGTGGCAGTTGACCGGTGGCGTCCACCACCGTAACGCGGCGTGGGCGCTGACATGACTGATGCAAGAAGAAAAAAAAAACCATAATCGCGTGATGAAGTCCCCATTTGACGTCTTCCTGGCGTCAGAGATTGCCAAAATTTGTGACGTTACGATCCGGCATTGTCGCTTTGTCCCAAGGAGGCCGATCACGGAGGCAGTGCAGAAACAAATGAGGTGCAGAAAGCTTGCAATGCCTCCAATTTTAGAGGCAATTTCAAACCATGTTATAAGCAGAGAGCTATTGAAGGGTGCGGTGGAAGATCACGGAGGCAGTGCATAAACAGGTGAGTGCATGTAATACGAAGAAAAAGTCGGTTTTTGCCTTTGAGATATCCTAGATGAATACACAAGGTACACTGTGTTTTTTTATTTATTTTGTTCGTGCTTCAGGTGGTCGAGTGTTATCTGTAACAAAACGGCAATTTCTCGTAGAAGTGTTGTCACAACAGTGGGCTTTGTTGCAGGTTACAAAGCGCCCATCATTCCCGGAGCAGTGGCAGGCTACAAGCTGCTCCACGATAACTTCGGCAAACTTCCTTGGGCGGAACTGTTCACCGAAGCCGTCAAACTCGCCGACAATGGCTTCATCGTCGGGCACCATCTGGCTGAAGCTCTGAAGAGGAACCAGAAGGATCTGAACTACGACGCAAAGGGACGGTGAGTACCGACAGTGGCGCTAAGAACTAGAGCCTTGTTGAAGAGGAATATATATTCGCATTTCAACAGCTTGGAGTCATGAGCCACATTCATCACAACACGACACCGTTCACGTTCAACAGTTAGAGTTACAAGTTTCGAAGCAAGAAACTGACCAAGAATCGTTCGGAAGGTGGCAAGCAGTATAAAGATCTCGTCAGATAAAAGGTAGACGTACGTGTTAATTAGCTGTCATGAGAGTTTGGCATGCAGTATTATTAGCTATAATTATCTTCAGAATGATTCATAATGTCGCCACCGCTTTTATTGAAACCAATTTATTTTTTGCATACACCCTTAAAGATATCATAGTGCTAAAAAAAGCCGAGTGGTTAAGACTCTCGCCTTTGGATGGTGGGTACGCTTACTAGAACCCACCGCTGCATGAAATTTTTTTTCGCCAATACTTTCTCTTTCTTGACATCTATCTGTATTTCCATGAGCTTCTTTCTCTTTTTATTTTGTCGCCGCCCTCCTCCCCCTCAAATATCTCCTCCCCTTTGTGCTTCACTCTTACTATAGGCCGGACAAATCTGCGCACTTGTTCTTCGAGTGAAAGAGTAGATGAAGGAAAGGGTCAAAAGAGTGCGTGCTGGTTCACTAACCTACCCCCTACCAATGATCCGGAGTCTAGCATCGTAACCCCTATAAGCTGTCCTGGCATCCCGCGAGAACGTGACGTAGCCTTGTATACAAAGGGCTGGAAAACGGAAGTGACAGTGAGCGAGAGCGAGATGAGCAGTGGAAGTCGGGCCACTACAAAAACAATGTTACGAAAAATACGAAATCATTCGGGTAGATCGCTACCACGAATACCATGTTTACCGGATATGTTATTTTGCAAAGAAGAAATACAAAGACTACCTGTACATCTAAAAAACCCAGACCCTTGGTTTGTACGGCGTTTTGGTACCGAATGTAAGCTGCGATCCCTCAAACACAACTTGCCGGAAAGACTAAATACTTTTGTTCACGCTACATTAATGGTTCAGGCTACTACATGTAAGTATTTTCTAGGCGCATTAATGCGTAACGATGTACACGAAATGATCATGTTTTGTTTGAGTGCTTCACTATTTGCGCAGATATGCGTATCGTTGAGTGTTCAACATCCTCTAGTAAGTCAAGCGTTTGAGTGTCAAAGTCGTGTCTTATTAAAATGCTTGTTTCTCATGCCGCCGTCTTGTACAGCGCCTCCTGGGCGAAGTCAAGCTGCTGATGGCAGCTTTTAGTTCCGGAGGACGTTTCCTGTATGTACTAGAATAAATAAACAAATTTGAAGTTGAAGTCAACCTTAGTCTGAAAAGACAAACAAGAAAAGAAAAGCATACAAAGGAGAGAAAAAGCAACAAAGATAGAAGGAGCGAGAAATAGAAAAATGTACATTGACATAAATATTGTTACACGACATCGGCAACGAAAGAGCATCATAGACGACGAAGATGATGAAAGCGACCATGCTCGTGTTGTTGTTGCTGTTGGGCCTCCACCTTGGCTGCAGCTGCCTCTGACTCTCCCTGCATATTTTGTAAATATATTTATTTCATTCATTCTCTCACCCCCGTGACAATATAGAAGAAATAGAAAAAATATAGATGAGAAAACGGGAAGAGACTACGGAAGAAAAGAAAGAATTAGAGCAGCTCGCATACTAAGTTGCCAAGGCTGACCCAAAGCAAAAATGGTGGGAACTTCGCTTGGTTGGGCGCCCGCCATGGTGGTCTAGTGGCTAAGGTACTCGGCTGCTCACCCGCAGGTCGCGGTATGAAATCCCGGCATTGGCGGCTGCATTTCCGATTGAGGCGGAAATCTTGTAGGCCCGTTTACTCAGATTTGGGTGCACGGTAAAGAACCCCAGGTGGTCGAATTTTCCGGAGCCCTCAGCTACGGCGTCTCTCATAATCATATGGTGGTTTTGGGACGTTAAACCCCACTAGTCAATCAGTCAATGAATCGCTTGGTTGGGCTTTTACTCTCTCATCCCTGCTTCCCATCTCTTGCTATTATGTACTATGCATTCCTAAGCTTGTTTTTGTTTTTGTTTTCAACCCCTAGCTATACCATACTACAAAAGGTGATGCTGTGCTCGGCGAGCGTTCCTGGACAGAAGAGTTGTTACGATGCTGGCCTTCGTATAATGGGACTAGTTTCGAATCTCATCTCGCCAAAAAAAAATCTCTCTTTCTCTTATTTTTTTCTCTCTGTTCCGATATCTCGCCCATCATAGTCATTGCATCCCAAGACGGACAAATCGGCGCTCATGTTTTGCAAGTGAAGTAGAAGAGCGAGGGGAGGAAGACAATCGAGAGACAGAGGGAGTGTGGGTCGATTTATTAAGACAATTTTCTGAGCGTCGAGAGTCCGCCGCGGTGGATCAGTGGCTACGGTTCGGTGCTCGGCTGCAGACCCGAAGGTCGCCGGTTCAATTCCTGCTTAGGTGGTCACTTTTCGATGGAAGTGAGATGGTAGAGGAACGCTGACCGTGGGATGTCAGTGCACGTTATAGAACACAAGATGGTCTGGATTGCGCAGCCCTTCTTTGCGGCGTCTCTCTAACCATATCGTGGTTTCGAGACGTAAAACCCCAGATATTATTATTATTATTATTATTATTATTATTATTATTATTATTATTATTATTATTATTATTATTATTATTATTATTATTATTATTATTTTCTATATTCGACACACCGCAAGCATTGAACACAATAGCTCTGCTGCAGAATGAAGAGAAACAATTTCGGCCGCCCAGCTCCTTCAGACTTGACGCCATTACTGCTAAGCTGAGCTCAGTTTATTCTTTTTTTTTTTTGCGATAGGCAGTACCAGCTCGTGCATCTGTAGTTCATCACACCTGAAAAAGTTGTAGCTACTTCTACGAAAACGCGTCATACTTCAATGCTACAACCGATTCCTATAGGGTAACCCTTTCTTCTTCTTCTTCAATCGCAGGACCGCGTTCGTGAATCCCGCGACTGGCGAACTCGTAGCCGCGGGGAACGAGCTTCAACTGCCGCACATCGCAGAGGTTCTGCGACGAATCGCGAGTGACCCCACTACGCTGTACACTGGACCACTTGGACAAGAGGTGGAGGCCGACTTCAAGAGAGGTCCGAGAGCAATGCTATAGCCTGTTCTGTATTACCCAGCTACTCGTATAAGGGAGAGTGTAACGATGTCTGATGGTGTCTATGGCTGGTGGTACTTGTGGCTTCTATGTGACTTACGGCACCTGTGTGACCCACGATCGAGGCCTCCGCGATTGACAACGGCAACGCGATGTTGCGCGCTGCCGGAGCTGATCGCGGAGGCCACGCTCGCAATGCTCAAATCAGCTGTAGACACGTACCTTGTATTTACGGTGCGGTCATTGGGCTTATGGCATCATTTGTTGAGGGCAAGAGCGATGGATTTTCGGCTGACGTTGATAACTGCAAATTCCAGCTCGCTGGCTGGTGCTCCAAGGTCTGGCACGCGCGTTCGCAGGAGCTTCGACACCAGTCGGCAGTGTTTTATGGCCCTGCTGAAAGTGTTGCAAGGCCCTTTTCAGGGGATGTCACGGTCGCGTTCGTGAAGTCGAAAGCGGCTGCTTCAGGTCCTGACCGCACGTACGCGTTGCAGCGCGTCAGCGCATGGCTTTTAAGACGCGGCGTCGCCCCCTCCCCCTATGAAGAGAGGAGGCGTGTAGCTTTGCGTAGCCACGTGACCCCCTCTCTCTCTCCAAGTAGAGGGCGTGGCGACGCGTCGTAAGACCACGCACATGGCGTCGAGCCCTCACCCTCTCGTAGCCGCGCGCCCACGGCGCGGCGCCGCGTCAGAAAGCCTCGCGCCGATGCACTGCGGCCGATACTCGGGGTCAGGCCTTACTCTAGGTGCCACGCACTTTCGTATACTCGGCACTTTAGAGTTCGAAGCATGCGCTCCACGTGTGTTGACGCTTTCTTTATGGACGAGCAACGCAACCATGGAAACTGGCTGTTGAACGATCTGTCCTAACCGAAGTCACTGGCGTATACTCATGGGGTGACACACCGTGTTCCCACCCCATGCCAGAAGATTTTGTTGTTTTTTTTTCGTCTAGGCATACAGAGCGAAAAAACACCACTTCAAAAAGGTACCCCCCCCCTCCCCTTCGTGAAAAATATTTCTGCCCAAGCCCTTGCTCAGTGCCATTGACGCTAGAAACCTGCTGCGTTATGCTTTCGTTTGAGAGGGAGCATCGACGTTTTTGCTTTGTTTTGTTTTCACTCACCTCATTGCCCTATAATTTTGCAGAAGGTGGCTACGTAACATTATCGGAGCTCAAGGACTACAGGGCGCGCTTCGTGGAAGCGCTAAGAGCCGAGATAGGCGATAATAAGGTCCTCTACACAGCTGCGTTCCCAGGCAGCGGAGCCATCTTGGGGGCCATACTGGAGAGGTTTAAAATCACGTGAGCATATACTCCCGCATCTTGCGCTTTCTTTTGTGTACACCGTCATTGAGCAGAATACACCCTTCAAAACATTTATAAAAGGATATAATATGTTCTCACTAGGCAGTTTATAGCTTTTCTTGCCGTTTTCCTTTTGTTATAGTAATGCCACATGCCTGAGTACTTTATCTGATTATAGTGTGATATAGACCGTTTCAAGATTGCAAACGTTGTGCCCCACAAACACTTCTGGCCACTTCATTTACCAGCTCGTAACGTCAAAGCTGAAAGGATGTTCTCACAACTTTTCAAGACAGAGGAAAGTCTCTTATTAGTTTTTCACATAAAAAGAAGGTGCGCAATGTTCCAGCCAATTTCTTGTAGTTTTTATGTATCTCTAAAGAACATTTATTTAAATATATTTTGCCAAATAATGGAGGAAAAGTGGTCAAAATCATCGGGCTCTTTTCTAACGCTCTTCTTGTCCACCGATGCTATTGAGACACATCTGTAGACGAAACCGGATGTCATCAAGGGACTGTGTTTGTAAACAGTGAAATGGTCTATATGTTAACAGCAGTAAACATATCAGGCTCTAGAACAGAAAAACGAGGGACGAAGCGTGGTATGGGGGGGGGGGGGGTCGTTGTGGTTTTTTGCTGGAATGAATGCCAGGGTTTATTCTTTTTACAGAAGGAAAAAAAACGCCATGATTGGCTGTGCGCCAGAGTACCAAGGCCGATGTCACAGCTTCGGCAGCGATTTTTTTTTTGTGAGGGGGGGGGGGGGGGGTCACGCTAATTTGCGCTGCCCAAAAAAACGACTATTTCGGTGCCCGGGAAGCCGTTCTTCAAAAGGTCTATACAGACCCGCTGCTCGATCTCTCTCTGGCATATTGTTCCTAAAACCCTTCTAAAAAATACATCTAAAACAAGTTTGGATTTTACTTTGGTGCCGAAACGCGGAATCGAACCAGGGATGTTTAGATCAGATTTTGCAATATATTCATGCCTTATGATCCACTATTGATGTAGCTATCCCCTCTGTAACGCTTCTTGTAAGCCCTTAGGGGAAAAATAAACAAGATAAATAAATGAAGAAATGTAAAATGGAGGACTTGTAGTCCTGCTTTGTTATCTTGCGTTCAAAAAGTTTAACACTTGGCTTTTTTTTTCATGTATGCAAGTCCCTGCAGGCCACTCATTTTTCATCGTTATCGTGATTTGATTATTTCACCTCTGGGGTCGGGCTCCGAGCCTGGGATCTGACTGAGCCCTTTTGTTCCAGCATCATGACACTTATGTAATGTACTGTCAAATAAGAATAATGATAAATATGTATTGTAGCTATAGCGTGCACGTCTGTGCACTCACTCTCACTGTGCTATCACCACGAAGGTGATGGTTTCTAGAGAAGGGGAAAAAGAAAACAAAGACGCGAGAACGGTGAATTGACAATTTGTTATGAATCTTTTAACTTTGTGTTGGGGAAACATATAATAATAGCTGAAGTTTTACGTGCCAAAAAAAAAACACGATTGATTTCGAGGCGCGCTGCAGTTGGTGACTACTGAATAATTTAGATCATCTGGAGTGTTCTTTGACAACGGTGACGGCATAATTTTTCTTATTCACTGCAGGCTGTCGATACTGCAAGGCAAAGGAAAGACTCCTCCTGTAGTGATGAAGGATACGTACCTCCATAAGTAAGTTTTGGTTTACTTATACCTTGTTTAACCGATAATAGCGTTTTTCATGGGGCAGTGAGTAGCCGTCATTCGCCCAAGTGTTTTACGCGCGGTAAAGTTTCTGCTCCAAGCGTGGGAAACATCATTTTCGTGGTATATGTATACGTAATATACGCTGACAGTACGAAGATACAACGAAGTGCCTGCATGGATGGATGCGCGCGTACATGCGTTCTTGCGTGTGTCTCTGTAATAAATAATATAGCGTAGTTAAGCATCCTAACTGTGTACTGCGTCGTATGCCCTCAAGCTCTTTTTTTTTTTCTGTTAGACAGCCGCTCGAACTGGGAGTATACGCACTCGGCCTTGACTTACGTTACGTGCTATAGCACCTCGGCCGATCGCAGAGGGAAATAAACGGCTTCAACTTGTAATGTTAAACGTATACACCATAACCACGACACGATGATGAGGGACGCCGTATATATGGTGGAAGACTCCAGAAATATTGACCACCTCAGGCTCCTTACTGTACACCTAAATCGAAGCACACTTGGGGCCTATCGCATTTCGACCGCTGTAATAACAGCTACACCAGTGCAGTAACGTGTGTGTGTGTGTGTGTGTGTGTGTGTGTGTGTGTGTGTGTGTGTGTGTGTGTGTGTGTGTGTGTGTGTGTTAAACAATTAATTTAATGTTAACCCATTAAATGATATATTGTTTATACGATGCATGTCTCGCGCCTCATTCCACACTACACATCGAGCTATATACTTGTACAAATGAAGTATGCGCAGAAATGCACTGTCGTGATGCTGTGTGAGGTGCATCCTTTGGTCAGGCAGTGCCTCGTTACTTTGTTCCCACTTAGAAGTGTGGCAGTTTGGGCTTAGTTGGTATGACATGATGATATCGTTGTTCTGTTCTCGCGCTATAACTATCGTCGTTTTGTTCCCACGGCATTATGCTGGTCAAGTGAAACCGTGTACGTGGCGTTACCGGCGATGGTGGCCGCCTTCCTGAGGGAAATGCACATTCGCTCTTCCTTTTCCTTACAAACGCGTGTTTGACGATTTTAGTGTTCATAATTAATTAGGAGCCATCTACAAACTCCTCGCCAATCTTGTATGCGTTCTCTTAAGACGGTATCTGGAAATTAGGTGCACTGGTTCAATTTATACAACTCGCATGCCAAGAAAGAAAAAAAGGAGACTGACGACAGCCTGTTAAGCATTCTCATATTGCTTCCCTCCCTAACAGGCTGGTGGAAACCATCAAGTTTGCCTTGGCCTTCCGAGAAAATCTGGGAGACACTCCTGCAGCCAGAGATGTAAGCCATAATTTTAAGGAGTAATTGATATGAATTTGGGGAAATTACTGAGGTGCGAAGTATGCGATTTGAAAACACGAAGCACCGATGCTTGCCAAGCGTGGGCCGTGCGAAGGCGACAGTCTGTGTTTCAGCTTGCAGAGTTGGTATCCTTGTAAGGCACGGGCTTCAGTAAAGCCTAGACAGCATGTACACAGGCGTTCTTTAATAATACGACAGCTTTTGCTGTTTTAATGAGTCGACGAAACGCGGCATCGGCCTGTATCGTGAACGCCAATCTCACCAAATGTCACGTGATGACATAATCTGATGCCTTCAGATAACATCATTGCTAATCCAAAGGGATTGCGCAAAACTGGATGAGGTGTATATAGCGTTTACGTGGGAGAATATGCCCAAGTAACTAGATGACTCAGCGAACTAGGAGCGTGGGGGTAAACACAGACATAAAGCAAAGAAGAGGCACACAGCATGATGCTGTGTGCCTTCTCTTTGCTTTGTGTCTGTGTTTACCCCCGCGCTCCCAGTTCGCTGAACCATCATGAATTACCAACTAGCCCACCTTTTCATCCTATTGCAACTAGATGACTGTCTCGTGACAGCGCAAGCTTCGCCTGAAGGCGTTGAGTTCGCCTCACTTAAGCGTCTTGAGGCCCTTGTGCGATTGGCTGGTTCTCGCAGCGCTCTTTGAATACAAGTTACGAGTTACCGCCTACAATACGAGTTACCGCCGTGGCATATACCTTCTGAGCTCGATGGCGGGAGTTTGATTCCTGGTCGTGTCTTGCCTCATTTCGATTTTATTGGCAATGTGCGAAAAATACCCGTGAACTTGCACTTAGATGTGCGTTAAAGAAAGCCAATTGCTCAAACTTAATTCGTAGTTACCCGATGTACAGTGTTGCTCTAAATCATGCAGTAAAATCAAAAGTTAATTGAGTTGAAGACAGTCCATTTTAACGTGTGAAGCAGCGCATTGTGACAAGACACAAAACTATAAGTAACGATTCAGCCGGTTTTGCGTGTTGTCTTCGTTCGCTACTCAACATATTATAAGTAACTCCAGGTAAAAGGGTGTTTTCCTGGCTCGTAGAAGCCCTCATCTGCGTTTTCAGGGAACCGCACAGTAATTTTTCCTTTGTTTATATCCAACTGCAGGGTCAGAACAAACTCCTCTCCAAGATACAGATACAGTTCGAAAAAAATTTCTCACCTCAGCACCCTCTGGCGAGTTACGAAGATTATGGTGGTGTCGCCGCCCAGGATGAAGACTTTGGCGGAGCACACCTCTCCATCCGGGACCGCCAGGGCAACGCCATATCCGTAACTGCGGGCTTAAACCACGAGTGAGCTGCATTTATTACATTAAGTAGCACGCCCCGCCGCGGTGGTCTAGTGGCTAAGGTACTCGGCTGCTAACCCGAAGGGCGCGGGTTCGAATCTCGGCTGCGGCGGCTGCATTTCCGATGGAGGCGGAAATGTTGTAGGCCCGTGTGCTCAGATTTGGGTGCACGTTAAAGAACCCCAGGTGGTCAAAATTTCCGGAGCCCTCCACTACGGCGTCTTTCATAATCATATCGTGGTTTTGGGACGTTAAACACCACAAATCAATCAGTACATTAAGTAGCACGTTAAAGAAACACCGATTGGTCAAAATTTCCGGAGCCCTCAGCAATACGATCTCCCACGTAATAATATGGCGGCTTTAGGGCGTTAAACTCCAATAAATATTATTGAGGCGAGAACCTCAGCTGCGGCTCCTCAAGGAGAAGTTTGTCTGTCGGCGGTAACCGTCCCATGCGAACACGATGACATTAAATGCAATGACATCACCATATGATGTTATCGTGACATGAAATGCCAAAATTTTGTTATGACATTTTGTTATGTCAAATTTTGACGTGACGTCATGTGACGTAGCACCACGCGGTATCATGGTAGCGCCCTCCTTTGGGCGGCGAAGACAAGCGGAGAGGGCGCGATCTCGAGAGAATAAAAAGAAATACTGCGCTTGGCAATGGCAAGTGGAGCCGCGGCTCGTGTTCCTTGCTTCTTTGTAGGCCTACAGAGATGAAAAAGAAGATGGCTGTTTGTATTCTAGTTGTCTGTGAATGCACAAGGCAAAAGTACAGGGAAAAAGGGGGCGGGGGCAGTGGAAGCTTAAAAGGAGGAAATAATGTTGCACTTGGAAGGCGGTCCTGTCTATCTAAACGCTGCAACTTTAGAAATTAACGAATAGTTAGTACTCAAAAAATTTATCTCTGCATCTTTCATTGTTTCTGGTGCTAACTTTCCCTCCTTTAGCTATTGCTTCATAGAAAAGCGGGATGAGTTTGTTGATAGAAGTTTCGTGAGGCGCGGTGTGCTTGGTGCCAGCTCTTCAATGTGCCGTGATTGGGTGCATTAACCTTCTCCTGTCAGTCATCCCATGTTTGAGAGCTTATATGCTTTACGCACTGCAGGATATCATTTCGAGCGTCGGCTAGACCGATTACAATGATGCATTCTTTTTATCGCGTCTAACATTTTGTTTCTCTTCAATACAATGATGCATTCCTTTTATCGCGTCTAACCTTTTGTTTCTCTTTATTACAGTGGTGCATTCCTTTTATCGCGCCTAACCTTTTGTTTTTCTTTAATTTTTATCTTATTTCTCATGAGGAATTGTAGTGACGATAGTATTTCAGTGGCTAATACAAGTCTTACAATTTAACGCACTTATCGTATCAGTAAAATGACACCTATATAAAAAAAATTGGCACCGTATCTGCATGTTACACTACAAATGTCATCGAAAGACGATAGTCTTGCGTCTGGAGAGGGTGAACAAAACGTTTATTTATTGTTCTGCGCAAGAAAATCTGTGAATGGTACTTTGGAGGTGCTACGTTAGAGTGCCCCGATGCATACTGCTGTGGTGAACGAGCGCATCGAGCCACGTAACAAGTTAATAAGAAGTGAGACATGAGCGCTATCTGGCAGTTACCTTGGAAAACGAAGCGCGCGGCGTGCGCGCCCGTCTCGGAGGCGATAAGGTGTAGAACGCAAGGCGACGGGTAGGTGCCACCACCGGTACTTTGGTCTTAGCAAAGCGTTGGAAACACTTGCCTTTTGGTGCAAGCATTGCATTGTCAGTGAAGCGTGATAAGCGCTATGGTCCTTAAAAGTTTTTATATATAACTTCTCTAGTAAAAAGACACACATACAGAACATTGACGTGTTGTTATATGATGCCTCAAATATGCGAAATAATTGCTTTCGAACTGACAATCGCGCAAGTATGAACGATGAAGCTTGAGCAATATTGGTGGGCGCTGTGGATGGGGTTGGCCGTTTGAAATACTGTTTGGGGCCATTTAGAATAGCGTTATGGTGGACAAACAGACAAATGTACATACAGACAGGCAGAGCAAAATTTTTGCGTAGAAGGTGCCCAAGAAATACTATCGTCTTTAAAAACAGAAAACCTGCGCCCTTCAAAATACGTTCTTCTTCACTGGGACAGCCACGCAATACCAGCCAATGAGGGTAAATTGGTTGGCGCACCTATTCAAGTTTTCACGACTAGGCTCCCGTATTTGCCACTCGTCGTAAGGTGGTCTCACTATCATCATACTTGGCAATATTAGCACTGAACGATTTAATTTATTATAATATTGTCGCGAGAGGAAACGATAGGCAGGAACTCGAAGTGGAGGACTGTTTGCTCAGCCACAGCTGCCATTCACTTCTTCGCTCTCGTCTTCTGCCACCAATTTAGCGTGGCAATATTATGAACCTACTATAAAGCAACAGCACCAAGCAGACGTAATTAACGTTTAACAGTTGATGTTTTTATTACTTTTGTTCTTAGTTAATTTTCGCGCATACCCGTGGCACGTTGTTCTTTTTTTTTGTCAAGCAAGAATAATTTGGGTTAGTTGGTTCAGTTAATGGGGAAGAAAACAGCGCAAGAAGGCAGGCATGAAGATTATATATGCACATTAGGTTGGACGAGCGCTTACATCCAACTGAATCATTATTGGAAACAAGCGCGCGTTTTCACGCCAGTGTTGACAACTGCTGCGTGACTTGTAGGACACGAGCAAGTACGGAGAACTGAGAGCAGCCATCATGAAATGCTGTTTCTGTTTGTCTTTCTCGATCGACAGGTTCGGCTGCAAATACTGGACCAGCTCGGGAATCTTGCTGAACAGCTACATGAACGCTTTCTCGAATCCAAGTGGAGCATACTCGAAGCCTCCTTCGAGTACAAACCTGATGCTGGCAGGCAAGCAGCCCCTCACCTCCATGATGCCGTCCGTGATCACCAACACCACCGGCGGCAGACACATGCTGCACGCCGTCTTCGGCAGCAGCGGAGGGACGGCCGGTATTTCAGCGATGGCTCAGGTCAGTAGACTGTCTCTGAGATGCGATAGTCTTCTTAAGCGCCTGTCCTGAAAGGTTTTATAAATAAAACAGCACATAATGTATTCGTTATAGGCGCTGGTCTTGGAATATTTTGGCAATAAATCAGTGCACGTATTCGAAGGGGGCAGAGAGAAGGAACACTGGAGAGCCCTTTCTGTGTCCTGGAAACATGCGCCGTTTGATCATTGCTTCACCAACAAGCCCGAGTTCACACCATTCTAATCATAGGCGTGCGCACAGGGGAGTTGAGGTGCCCCCTTATAGTCACCTAAGATGGGGAGGGGCGGGGGTGAAATGTCTTCCCCATCCATTGTCTTAACAGGGGGGGGGGGTTGCGCTGCGACAAACATTCTAATCGTCTGATTCACACGAGTAAAACCTCGCAAATCAAGCCGTTCGCTTCTCTTCAGCTCTTCGCCTGCGCCGCCGAGTTTCCTCTGCACAGCTGTGTGGCGGCCAACGTTCCCGTACGGCCGTACCTCGGCGAACATGGTTACGTGGTCCAAGTTGGCCCAAGCACGTCCTCTTTCGACCCGGTACGCTTGCCAAACTCGCAGCGTTCCAATCTTTGCACTTGCGTAGTCTTCGCGTCCTTCGCCTTTGTCCATTTTGCCACGACTCGGGCTATACTAACCACTGTGTTTCAACCCACTTCCTCCCAGAATAAGGATATACTAAAGTGACGCTGATGGTGAGGATGATAAAAGGGCGTGCAAACGTAGCAGACGTACCCGGCATATCATTGCGACTCCTACCAACACCACCTAGGTGGTGTTGCTCCTACCAACACCACCTAGACTATTCACATTGTCAATAGTCTAGGTGGTGTTGCTCCTACGCCCACCAACACCACCTAGACTAGGTGGTGTTGCGCCCACCCACAGAAACGCGTGGCCCCTTCCATTGGCGTAATGCATTCCCCCACCCACCCCCAAAACATTTTTAAATTTACATGTGTGTATGTAGGAAGCTATTCTATGTCTGTGTACGCCGTGGTGGTGTAGAGGTTAGGGTGCTCGGCTGCTGATCCGAAGGTCGTGCGTTCGATACCGGCCCTGGTTGTCGCACTTCGATGGAGGCAAAACGGTAGAGAGAGCCCCGTGCACTGTGCAATGTCAGTGGATGCACATTATTAAACACCAGATGTGAAAATATCTGGAGCCCTTCCTACACTGCAAATCATTTCACACCCTTAAGGGTGGATTTTTGAATAAATCACCCATCTTACACCTATTATTTCTGCCAAACTTATCCGCATGGGTGTAAGTTCTGCAATTCCACCTTTTGTACGCCCATTTCTCATTTTTAGGTGTATTATAGGTATATGTTAGCAAATCACACCCAAGGGTGTTTCCTTGAACGTTACACCTATCATATATGTATATAGTTTAGAGCATCAATACATATCACATCTCAACGGATGCAATCAAACCGCATGCCAAAAGTCTGGTGAAAAGATCGATGTTGCGGCATTCGTTTTCATTTCCCATAATTCATTCGCCAAAATATATCGTGCTATGTATTATATGTATTAAACCACCCCCTATTTATTATATTCAGAAGATTCCTCACATGTTCAATGACTTAATTCATGGGTTAACTTTTTGGGATTCCTACTAAAAATATTTTGCTGCCGCTTATGTCCATTCTTCCTTAATTCTCACAGAGACATCAGTAAAAGAGATTATGTTGCACTTAAACATAACATGAAACGATTACACACGGTTTTCGACAGGCTATCGTGCACGCTTCCTCATTTGAAATCACACTAAGTTTTTTGTACCAGAGGTCCTGATTTATTAAAGACGATAGTCCTTTTTGTGGACCTTCAACGCAAAAATTTTGGTCTGCCTGCCTGTCTGTCCGTGTGTCGGCCTGTACATTTGTCGGTTTGTCCACTCTATACGGCATCTGGTACTTGAAATGGCCGACCTCAACCGCAGCGCCCACCAGTGTTGCTCAAGATTGAGCGTTCATGCTTGTGCAATCGTCAATTAAAAAGCCATGATTGCGCATGTCTGTGGCACCATAACAACACGTATATATTCTGCATGTGCGTCTTTTACTAGAAAAAGCATACATTAGTAATATTAAGGGCCGTAGCGCTTATCACGCTGCGCTGACCATGCAATGCTTGCACGGAACAGGGAGTGTTTCCAACGCTTTGCTAAGGTGGTGGAATCTACCCGTCGCCTTGCGTTCTACACCTTATCACCTCTGAGATGGGCGGGCACACCCCTATCAAAGCCACACGCTTTGTTTTCTAGGAAGACTGCCAGATGGCGCTCATGTCTCACGTGCGACATGATTTGATGTTCTTTTTCGCCTTAGCTGTACGCTCGAGGCACTCAAACGCAGTGCCTACAGAATACCACTCACCGACTTTCTTGCGCAGAACACCAAATAAATGTCCTGTTCACTCACTCCACACGCAAGACTATCGTCTTTTGACGACATTTGCAGAAACATGGAGATACGGGGCCAATTTTTTACAATGGGGGTCCATATATTTCCTCACACTGAAGTATTTCGCATCAATACACGGGTCCCTGATTTATTCAGTGAGTTATATTTAGAGCTATGAACATGGGTCAGTTCAAATTGAATGTTTGTAGTATTCGCATTGCCACAGAACTAGGCATGTTTGCAATTAACAGGCTAAGCTTACTCTGATGCAGCTGCTGTGCACGCATGCTGCGCCGCAGGACAAGCTTGGCGCACATACGCTAAGCACGGGTGAACTCTTCCAATGGGTCGCACCACTCTGTGGGCACTTAGTGCTCTTTTTATATTTACTTGAAATGCACGCTTGCGCGTCGTATAATATACACGTGAACGATCGTAGACAACACTAGCGCAATGTACCCGTGCCACAAAGATGGAGAGTAGTTGACTAATTGCAGCATTGTAATTGACAGCTGTTACTGTCACGTTACAATGCACTGATAATCGCACATTGGTATGCTCACACAAAATTTAAGACTTGAAATAAAAGCAAGCGTCCTTCATACTTTGTCGGTAAAAGAAGCAAAGCCCCCGGTTCTTGCTGATTGGCAGAGTGTTATTTAAAAGAAGCTAATAGCACAGCAGGGGTGTTGTTAGGATTTATGCGTGCAAGGGAACAGACAGAGGAAAAAAGGGGGCCTGGCGCAATTTGTATGTAAATTTTTGCCTGTTGTTGCATACGTGCGGATCCGAATCGCAAGCTTTCTTTTTTTTTTTTTTTTGCGAAATGGGCCAAATCTTGACCAGAAAGTAGCTCAAATGACACTCAATTGGCTCATACATACGTTCACGTTTCCTCTAAAACAGTAATATTAAAACATTATTTATAAATATTACTGTTCTAGAAGAACGTTGATAGTATGTATATGTCAAGGCAGCGTTAGTTGAGCTTGTTTCGGTTCTAGATTTGCCCCATTTTGAATTAAAAAATATCTCCTCAAACGAACATAAAAAAGGGTGGGAGATGTGTCAAATATGGAACAACCTCCTTGCCACCCTTCCCTAACTTTTTATTTATATCTATGTTCCGCAAGTAACAAGTTTTGACTCCGAAATGTCGAAACAACGCCGCAATGACGCCTCAGCCGGGAAAAAAAAAATGTACATTACGAAGGCTACGCATTTGCCACCTGCACACGTCAGTGGCAAAAAAAAAAAGACTTTGAAGCTCTGCTAGCAACTAAATATGTTGTCAAGCATGAAATATTACACTATATCTTGGAGGCTTGACATAGCTTGGAAATTATATCATAAAACGGTACTGCTATTCGTTTCGGTTTCGGTTTTGAGGTCTCGGGGCAACTGCGCATCGCCATCGTCAACAGGCAGACTTTGAATTGGGTGGTAACATGTCGGGTGCGTGTTTGGTGCAGGCTGACGGTGGTTTATTATTTTACTGTTCACTTGCTTTGTCAGGGACGCGTACTCATACGGCTTGCACAGTTTAAATTGTGCTTACAGTAGATACAGTACGTGTCACTGCAATCTGTGGCGTGTCGGCTAGTACAGAACAACTTCGGTGCGGCGGAGTGTGTGTCCTCTGTCAACGGCTTTCGTTGAAGCTTGTGCCCGCCGCAAGCAGTGTTTCCGATCAAGCAATCAACGGAGTGTACGCTGGGAGCTACATGGAGAACGCTTTTGGATTTCGTGCTATTGCTGAAAAGGTAAGCTTTCGTGTATGCGAACAACGAAGTGCAGAAATGCGTGCCTGCCTGCCAACTCCCGATTTGCCCGCGATACTCGTAATTGCAGGAAGCGACCGTCTCATGGCGTCGGTAGCTTCGTGACCTCCGCTCGCTATGTGCTTATCAGCTGCGATGTCTCAACAGTCGCAGTGTTCGTGAACCTCGCTTTGGGGCATGGTTAAAGAAAACGGGGGGATGTGCCCCGCGCAGATAAAACTTACGACATTCGGCAGCGGGTGAGAAAACAAGGGGAGGGGGGGGGGGGCTGAGCGAGCCGAGGTGGGCGAAAAAAATGGCATAATAATAATAATAATAAAAACGAAGCAGATCAACGGTAAAAGAGGCGCCAGTTGTCAGTTAGCGGGACTGCAGTGGACAAATGGGGCGCGTTTATTACGCGGGAGAAAAAAAAAATCCAGATTTCAATGACTGAAGATAGGGGTGCGTTTTTAATGCGAGTAAATACGCTATTTAAAGCAACAATTGAAAAATACTTAAACTTTGTATCAGTACCCCTTTGATGCCTGCGCTTTGCAGCGGCGTGACGTGTTTTGTTAAAAATCGTGCAGCTAACCAAAAAATTTATATGTACCTTGTTTAATCAGTGATTCGCGCTTTTTATGCCTTGCTAGGTTTGTTTATATTTATACTAGTATATCGTAAATAATCAGGACATAGAAATATTGATCTGCTTTAATAAGGGATTGAACAGCCACACTCAATTGCACACATCTTTTTGCATTTTTGCACCATTGTACTGCGGCACATAGAATATTGTAGAATAGAATA